AAAAAAAAAAAAAAAAAAAAAAGAGGGAAAAAAGAGGGCAAAAAAACCTCACTTAGTCACTAGCATGGGGAGTGACTTCAGCTAGTATTGCTAAAATTGTTGAGGGGGAAGGTGCACGTGTCCAGTACCGGGGATTGAACTCAGGACCCTGTGCTTGCAGGGAAGCGCTTATTCCACTGAGCCATCTCCCTGGCCCTCCCTTTTTACTTTTGAGATAGGAGACAACGTGCTACCCAGACTAGTCAGGAAACCCTCCTGCCTCAGCCTCTCACGGGGTATGACCCACCACGCCAGGCATGCGTCCTTTTTTAGTGGGGACTAGGTTAGGTCAAGCTGCTCTTCAGACTCCTGGCAAAGGCACTGAGGACACTGAGAATCGCGGATAGCTTTTTCGGTGCCACTTCAGCCATGCCAAAGAACTACTTAATGTTCCATTCATTTAAGTGTTTTAAATCCAAGTTGAATTCTGAAGCTTATTCTGAAATATTGTGAAAACTATAAACATGAAAGAAATATGGAGCTGGGGAGATAGCTTGGTGGTTTAAGCACCTGCCTGGCAAGCACAAGGACCAGGGTTCGATACCCAGTACCATATGCCAGGTGCTCCCTGCTGGCCACCAAAACTGGATGTAGTAGCACATGCCTGTAATCCCAGAATTTGGGAGGCTGAGACAGGACAATCACCAGGAGTCCACCTGTAGCGAGAACCTGTACCAAATAAATAGATTTTTATTTTATTTTACTTTTTTGTGGAACCGGGGATTGAACTCGGGCCCTTGCACTTGCCAGAGAAGCGCTTATTCTACTGAGCCATCTCCCTGGCCCAATAGCTTTTTAAAAAACAAACAAATATGGCCCAATATTTGTTATTGGTTGGAGCTATTGGTTTTTTGGAGTTCCTTATAGGGTTTTGCTTTTTGCAGTGCTAGGGATAAACCCAAGGCTTCAGGCTGACCTGGCGCCCTACCACGGATATGTATCCCCAGCCCATTCTGAAGGGTTTTCTTTTAACCTTTCTGTGCATTTGAACACTATTCTTTTGAAGACAGGATCTTGCCATGTGATTCAGGCTAGCCCTGATGATCCTCCTGCCTCAGCCACCCAAATGCTGGGATCACAAGCTTGAGCCACCACGTCCAGCTTGGCCCTGATCACTGCTGCCCAGGGACATGTGGACACTGCTGGGCTGCCGGGGGCCTCCAGTGGGGTCACAGCCCCCCTTGCCCAGGCTTCTGCCAACCAGGAGACTCCCCTACCACCAAAGAGAGGACGCCCAGTTCCCACCCAGGAGCACCCTGCCCCAGTACCCAGAGCAACACGAGGCGTCTGGGTCCGACCTTTTATTTGACTCAGGTTGATGCCAGCGCTCTGCCAACGAACAAACGGGTGGAAGCCTTGAGCGTGAGCAGCGGCGCGTGGAAGTGTAAACAAAGGCGAACACAAATGCCGCTTCTGGCTTCCGGCTACAGCAACAGCGAAGGGGGCAACCAAGCGGGCCACATTCATAGCGCTAAGTGCAAAGGAACGGAATGTGGGTGCAGCCAGGGAGGAGGAGGCAGGCTCAGCTCCTGGGGCCTTGGGGTGAAGACCACGCTCCTTCTGGCGCCCTCTCCCTCTGCAGCTCCTCCCAGCCCTTCCCACCCCAGGCCCTGGAGCTTGGGTGCCGACCCCAGACGGTCAGGAGTCTCAGTCTTGCAGCGTCCTGAAACCCAGAAGGAGCAGAACCTCCGAGTAAAGTGTTAAGGCAATAAATAAAACTTGCGGCTTGGGCGAGAGAGCACTGGCAGAGTCCCTGCAGCCACACTGACCCACGCTGCCCTTGCCGTGCGCTGCGGGTGGCCGAGCCCCGGGCCATGCGCCTCCCGGAGCAGGTCCGCGCGTCTTGTGTGTCCCTGCTAAGTGCCGGGCAGCTTCTGGTCCTCGCGAGGGAGCTGGTCCATCTGAACATCCTGGCCTCCCCTGCCGTGGTCCCTGGGACCCTCACTCCTGGGCAGCTGATGGCAGCAGTCGCATCACGGGTGACAGCAGTGGGGACCCTGGTCCCAGCCCCCAGCTTCGAGCTCAGCACCACCCAGGAACTTCCAGGTTCACAGAAAGGGTGGTGGAGAAGACTCCTGGGGGGTGGGATGACATCTTTGGCAGGGGCGGGAAACGAGGGCAGGTTATAGGGTGGTTCTTGGGGTACAGATCCACCTCTGCCTACCCCCGAGGACCCAAGCTGGCCACCTGCCCTGTCCCCCCCCCCCCGGCTAGCTGAAGACTAGGGAGACAACAGGGTGGGCCACATAGACACTCGGACTCAGATACACAGCTGTCAGGTGCTTGGGCTCGGTACACTGTGACCTCTGCTGCACCCCAGAGCCCTGCCACCCGCTCCTCACCACCTTCTGGCATCTGGCTTTTCTGGTCCCAACTGTCCTCAATGCCCCTCTTCCTCGAGACCTTCCTCCCCTGCTGTCCCCAGGGTCCACCAAAGGCTCCAGACTCTGGCCCCACCCTCTCTAAGGAATGCTGCCCTCTGAGCCTCGGGGGTGCCCAGCAGCAGGGTGGGCGAGCTCAGGGACCACTGCCCTCGGCCGCCATGGCGCTTGGGTGCCACCCAAAGGGGGCACAGCTCCTCTGCTGTCACCAGTGTGGGTGTGACCTGGGCAGCCAAGGTCCCTTCCAGCAGCTACTGCAGCTCCCCCAGGGACCCATTCCCTCGGGGCAGTGCCCCATTCAGGCTGACGCTGCTGGCCACGGGCGCCCCCAAGTAGCCCAGCAGGATCTCGCTGCGGCGCCGTGACAGCTGCAGGATGTCGTCAGCCAGTGCGGACACTGAGGTGTAGCGCACGTTGTCCAGGTCGAACATGTCCCGCAGGTACTGCACGATCTGGTGCTGGGAACACATGGCGGACAGGGGCCCTAGTCCCCAAACACATTCTGTGGAGCCCACGAAGTCCCCCTCTCCACCCCTGGGGACCCCACCTGTTCTCTCGTTTCCCAGGGCCCTCCTAGGACCCTATGCTGCCAGCACCCTGGGCAGGGACAGGACAGGGAGAGGGGGCTGCACCCCACTTACCTTGAAGAAAGCACAGACTTCCGCAAGCTGGGGCTTGGGGCCAAGGAAGCCAAAGGCAAGGACAGGGCTCACGTGCTCCGATACGGAGTAGAAGTGGGAGATGAAGCCATCAGGCACCTGCAGCGAGGACAGGCTCAGGAACGGGGCTGGGGTATGAGGGGGACTCTGGGCACACAGTACAGGCACCTGGGGCCACTGGGAGTGCACAGGCCAGGCCCAGTGGGTGCAGCGAGGGGCACTGGCAGCTGGCACCTCCCAGGATGCCCTACCCTCTGTGGAGTGCCCGGCTGGGTTCATGCCTGGTCCAGGAAGGAGGTGCAGGGGACTCATGTGACCTCTGGGAGTCCTAGCCACCAGAGGGGGGACTGAAGGGTATGCAACAGTGTAGGAGCCATCAAGACCAGAGGTGCAGGGGTCAGGGGGTGGGGAGGACAGGCCCTCACGTGCCAGTCCTCCAGGGCCCGGGGTTCACTTACCATCAGGAGCCGCCTCTTGGCTTTCAGGACCGACCAGCAGGCAGTGGCCAGGGCCTACAGTAGAGGGGCCCAGGCCTTTGAGAACAGCCATGAGAGCCAGCCCCAAGTGCACCACCCAAGCAGGAGGCTGGAACTGAGTCACACCCTCACTAGGATCCTCCCTGGTCCCGTGACCCAGCTGTCCAGTGCTGGGGGCTGCTGACCGGTTGGCACATTCAGTGCAGCTGCCCCGGAGTCACAGGTGCCCCGTGGGGCTCTCCTACCGAGGTCCCTGCTTCTCTTCTAGGGGTCATCTTCATTTCTCCTTTTGTTTCGTTTTTTTGAGACAGAGACTCACGGTGCAGTCCAAGCTGGCCCTGAACTAGGTAACCTAGGCTGGTCTTGAACTCACGGAGATCCTCTGCTTCAGCCTCCCAAGTGCTAGGATCACAGGGGTGCACCATCACACCCAGCTCATTTTTCCTGGTTCTAATTGAACAGCTTTGTCAACAGCCAGTAGCATCAAAGCCAGCTCAGGAGGAGCAGCAGTGCCCGAGTGAACCCAGACGGCAGCAAACGCCTGCCCCTTGGGTCTAATAGTGCCAGGGCAGCAGTGGGTTGCCCTGGAGCGAGCCCCAGGGGACAGCCTCAGACCTTGGGGGGTGGCCCAGGAACGGGGGCCAGGTCAGCGGCCTACCGTCTCCTTGAAGCTGTCAGACAGCCAGCGGTTCCGCAGCACGGCGAGCACCGAGGATGGTGGGTTCTCCAGGTCCTCAAAGGCATCCATGAGGATGAAGTCGAGCACAATGTCGAAGAAGCCCATGCACACCACCTGCAGGGCCACCGTGCAGAGAGGACAGCTGGGGTGGGCCACTCGGGGTCACCAGGGCCCCAATGCTCTGGCGGGAGCAGAGTCGTGCACCTCATACCACCCTCAACTCACTCTCAGAGCCCCAGCTCAGCAGGGCGACTCACCCCGCGACCCTCCAGCTCTAGCCGCGTGGTGGCCCAGGTCTCTGGCCGCAGGGCATAGCTCAGCATCTCCTCGTAGCTCTCTAGGAAGCCCTTGGGGCTCTGCAGGGAGAAGTGCACGTAGGTGGTCCCAGTAGGGCCAGGCCAGGAGCTGGGGCTGCAGAGCCCATAGGGGCAGGCCAGGGTGCCGCAGACACCAGGGCTCCTGGGAGCAGCAGCCAGTGAGAAAACAAGAGCAGGCAGGGTCCTGCCACCCACAGCACATCTCAAAAGAGGGGGCGTCCAGCTTGGCCTTGCTTCACAGGGACCGCAGCCATGTGTGTCTCAGAGCAGGGGGTACATCTAAACCTCCTAGGCTGCTCTCCTGAGGAGTGCCTGGTAACAAGCTCGGCCCAGGGCACCGATGCTTTGGTACCCAAAGGCTAAGGCTGCTGCAGGGTCTGGGAATACAATTTGCTGGCAGAAGCAGTGGTGCACACCAGTAATCAAAAAAGAAAATGAACCAAACCAATGAATACGATTTGACCCAGTGGGTCTGCATTTACAAATACAGAAAGAACCAAGGTCCACTCTGAGCAGGCACTAGTGCAGGCTACATACCTGGCAGCAAAACCAGGAGGGCCTCAGGCAGGCGGAGGATAAGAGCAAATGAGGGTTTTTTTTGTTTGTTTTGTTTTTAGTAAGGGTCTATAGGGTCTCACTATGTAGATCTGATTCGTAGTGATCCACCTGTGTTCAGCCTCCCAAGGAGCTATGATTACAGGCGTGCACCACCACGCCCAGTCTCAGTCACCCTCTCAGAGCGCCCTACGGGCAGGAACAGCAAGGCATGCCGGGGATCGAACCACGGATCGAACCCTAGCTGCTTCATCTGCCTAAACAGGTACTTTAATCCACTGAGCTTTTGAAACTGTCATTGCTATTTCTTTCTCAATAAAATTAATAATAAAAAAAATCTGCTGAGCTATTTGACCAGCCCTTCAAATGAGGGGTTAAAAACCATCTCCTAGCCAGGCGTGGTGGCGCACACCTGCAACCCCAGCACTTAGGAGGCTGAGGCAGAGGATCGCTGCCAGCTCAAGGCCAGCCTGGGCTGCATGGTGAGGCCATCTCAAGACAAGCACACACAGATTAAAATGCCTGCTTAGGCAGACACAGGGACCAGGGTTCAATCCTCAGCAGGCTGGGCCAGCCCCACCCCTGGGGCAGGCTGAGACAGTGATTGAGACTGGGCATGGTGACACCCTGTCTGGAATCCCAGCACCCTGCCTGGAATCCCAGC